TATTACCCAAAATGTTTCTTAACAATGGAAATAATTATGTATATATAAATTCATGTTTATCCTCTTGTTTGAACGATGTGAGATTTTGCTTGTATCCCAATAATTGTTCCTTCAAATAAAAGACCAGGATTTACCTTTCTTTATAGCGAAAGTTATTAGTCAACAAGTATATTCGATGGAGACTTATAAAACTCAATCACGAAATTTCGTCCCCAATGTGACTAAAGAACCTAATAAGTTCACATGATTTGGGTTTAACCAGCTGCAAAATCATCTCCAAACTAGCATGCAACTCATACAATCACATATATGCATTACCAACAACTCAAATTTATCAAAATATATGCACTTCTATAGGACTCAAAATCTCAAACAATAAGGTTTCTAGTTCTCAAATTCAATAGTACAAACATAAATAAATGAACTCAAACAAGATACAACACAACAATAATCAATCTATAAGTTTCCTTTACCTTGAATCTCTCATAATCAAGAAAATGAAAAGAGAATAACGGTGAAGAACTAGGTCCTCTAAGCTTTAGCGTAAAAGATTCTTAGCACTGCGAGCTTCAAATCTCTACATAACCACTTAATTTATGCACTAGGGAAGGATCTTAACACTCTATGAAGTCAACACAGTGAAATAGGTCTCTCTATTTTAGAACTCCTCTTTCTAAATTTCTTAAGAAAATGAATTTATAATTATACATATTTTCTTAAACTTTGTCAATAATGATCTCAACTCAAAACAATTACTAAACAACGAAACTTATAAAAACTTCTTAATCCTTAAAATTTTACAACAACTAAACAATAAATCACAAAATCATTTGATTAATAAAATTAATTAAACCATCACACAATTTCACAATGTTACATTTCAAACTTTTAATTAACATAAAAGTATAATATTTCCAAAAGTCCATGTGTTTGTTTTTCCGTTTTGATAACCAAATGTACATTCATTTTTCATTGAATGTCGCATTTGCTTGTTTGATAATTTTTATTCATGTTGAGGTCAATCTCATTATGATCTAAACTTACGTTGCTTCTAAAGTGATACCTCTCATGCTCTTTTTTCAACGTGAGAGAACCAATTATAATAAATTACTTTATTCTCCTTTGACGAGCAGTTTTATTTATTTATTTATTTTATATTATTAGTGCTTTATTTTTTTGAAAAAGTATCTTGTACTTTATTTTGAAACATATAACTAATTATTGCATTTTTCCTTTATATATTAAATTATATTTTATTCATTCTTTTATTTATGTGCATTAGATTTTTTTAATAACCAAAAGAATTATTAAAAGTAAACTTGACTAATAATTTTAATATCAAAATATAAAATATATAACAAAAATAATAATAATATCAATAATTTAAATATACCTAAAAAATAATGAAAAAAATAACATTTATATCATATTATGAATTTCATATCCATTTTAATAATTAAATATTTTAAATTACTTTTAGCTACTATCTTCAAAACAAGTTTTCATTTTAATAAAAATGCTTTTAAGATGAAAATATGAAGCAAGTTAAATTAAAATCATTTTTAACTAAATTTAAGTTAAGTTTAACTAAACTTTTTAACTATAATTTTTGCTACTTCATTAATTCGAAATTCATATTTAATTTTGTGGTTTGCGACGAATAAGTCTAAAGTGTCGGTGTTTATACTGCTCAAGTGTCACAGTCATAGCGTTGGCAACTTTCTAAGAAATTTGGCAACTTCATCCAGGAAATTGGTGCTTTGATTAAGTGGTTAGCAAACCCTTATTCTCACATGTATATATATATATATATATCATAATCCAAACCTTCCCCTTAAGCACACCAATTATGGGTTCCAAGACATTGTTGATTGGGTTCATCCTTGTGCATGCCTTGCTACTTTCTTATTTTAGTTTCATAAGCAACGCTTATGTCTTTCACACCTCATTATCGGATTCTCCTCACAGGCTGGTGAAGACTATTAAACGCAGGCTGCCACCACATCCACCATCTCCGAAGCTCAATATACCCATTCATTATAAGAGCCCACCGCCTCGTCCTATGATCCCACCTCCTCCTCCACCTGCAACATAAGCATCTTATGATTCTTCAAGTTTCTTATAATAGTTATTAGGATTTATTGCTTCAACTTCTTTAGGCACTGCTTTCTATAATCTCTATTATTAAATGATTAATTAGTTGGTCCTTTTTATTATTGATATAGGAGTATGTGATTTATATTTGTAAGCACATTTTGATATATAATTATTTTTATTTTTATTTTACCTTTATTTGGAGTTAATGTTCATAATTTCACAAATAAAAGTGATGGATATATATTGTAATTATTAGGATCAAACTTTACTAATGCGATGAAACTAATCTATATATAAAAAAACTAAATTTATGAAACTTAAATGCTCTTTTCTTTTATTTTTATTTATAATATAGTCATAAAATAATTGATTTTTTTTTATCATTTGATATTTTAATTTACAAAATATTTTTAAAATTTTATAAATATAATTACAATGTCTCGTTAAATAACAAATACAATTGTATAACCAAATATATAAAATTTCCTTTTATTATGGATATGTTGAGAACCTTCATGAGAATCAATGTTATTTAATTTAAGTATAATTAATACAAAAAAAAATTAAAATATAAATACCTCTTTAAGTTAATGTGATTATTTTACATTTACTTACGTATTGTCAAGTAACTGATCAATAAACTCCAAGCGTGTAGTTCAACAGTAGAGATTGATTCACGCTTAAACAAGGTCAGAGGTTCGAATCCTTGGAGCTAGCTATGCTACCCTTTGAGGTGCCTCCATCATAACGAGGAGAAAAAAAAAAATAATCAATAACCAAATTCATCAAAATACAAATATTAATTAAGTCATACATCTCCCATTCATATCTAATTGTAATGAACTAAACAATTGATTTGGTCTACTGACCACTGAGAGAAAAAATAATAATAACTTTTGGTATCACTATCGTGATTTGATCCAAGTCCATAGAAAAAACATGACATTTTGCATGATGATATTATTATGAAACCTCTTCTCTTCAAACACACATTATACTCCTAAATATTATGATGAATAGTACAGCAAATAATTTGCCTAACCTCAAAATTTTCTACATGATCTTATTTTATAACCTTCATTTTCCTACATAATTCTAAAAACACAGTATGCTGTCAAAAGTGTTCTACAGGCAAACCTGAAAGAGTACGTAGTTGCTGCGTATGGAGGTGAGGAAGGAGAAGAAAGTGAAGAAGCCTGGAGAAGTTAAAATATGAGAAATTGACAAGTTGGGTAAAGCAATAAAAGAGGATATTTTAGGTAAAAATGGTAGTCAACCGGAGGAGGAGCAGATTGGAGAGAGTTGGAAGCATCGATTGGTAAACCTGCTATTCAGACTCATATATATGGATATGATATTGTGGACAGACAACATGTCTTTTTTTATTGGCGATTCCCAGGCCTTCCAGGAAAAATGAGTATCATCGGTTGGAACTGCGGAGGCCTGCGAAACCTTAGGGCAGTTCTTATCTTGAACAACCTTGTTCGTAAATACCATGCTGATATACTGTCAGAGACCCTAGGGCACAAAAACAAAAATTAAGATTTTTTATTGTCGACTTTTGGCGCAAAATTTATGTAAACAATAGCGCTACTTAGGGACATGTTAACTACATTGGCCTATAAAAGTAATTTACCTCAGCTAAAATATAAAATAGTTTAGAAAAATCGAACTAACTTATTTTTTAATTTAGTGAAGTTTAATCTATATTATATTTAAATTGAACAAAGCTTTTTTTTTTTTACTATAAATTTAATTAAATTATATTATAATTTTTTTATATATTTTAAATTAACTCTTATCTTCAAATTGATATCAATAAACTAAAATGTGTCTAATGCAGTTTGATTTGAAAAAATTAAAACCTTGCAAGTAGTAAGTCAACTAAAATTATTTACTAAAAATCAAGACAAAATAGTTTATGTTTACATAATAGTAGCTATGACACCACTAATTGATGTTCCATCTACTTAAACTATACATTGTACTTAATTAAACTATTTTTATACTCTAAATCAAACTTTTTCTTGTAATTTAAACTGAACGAAATTAATTTTGTAATAATTTAGTTTTTGAAACCAAACTTAATTAAGTTCAATTTAATTTTTATAAGAACAATAGTTGAGTATCTTTTATAATCTAGTTCAATTTAGTTTTTTTTAATAATTTAGTTTGAAATAATTTTGAATAGCCATATCAACCGGTGAGGAGTTTATTTCAACTTAATTAATTATCTCAAGTTTGAGTTATATACAAATACGTATTTGTGTTAAGATCTTGAACAATAACATTTTTATTCCTTTACATTTAATTAAAAATAATAAAGATAAATCACGCATAGATAATACAAATTAAGACAAAAAAAATATATTAAAATTATCATAAAAGTTTTCTGTTAAATAATTTAATTTGTAGTTAGTTGTGTTTTAAGAGAATGTTTAATTTTAATACATTGCTTATACAATCAAATAAATTAAAAATCATCGTGAATATAATTTATCATATAAATATTAAAAATATAATATTTTAATTATTCTTGTTAATGTATAATCGGATAACATTTTAAAAAATATCTTAAACATATATAATCTTATTTATAATAAAAATTACCACTAGTCCATATTGAATATAACAATTATAACAATTTTTTTTATGACTATAGTGCACAACATTTTGTAGTACTTAAATTTTTTAAATCAAAGTTAAAACATAGTTTAGTTTAATTTTTATAAAAAATAGTTTAATTTTTAATAGTTTAGTTTTCAAAATAGTTTTATAACCGCCCTCCAGGCTCTAGCCACTAGCATAGCTAAACGTCAGACAACAAATGGTTGTGAATTTTAAAGGCACCTAGCCTATATTATACATAATTAACAACCAAGATGTGAGACTCTTATCTTATGAACTTTAATCAATGCATGTAAGTTATTGTCAGAATCTACAAGATATGTGTGACAGCTGAAAGGGAACGATGATGTGGATTGCTCACATCATCAAAAATGTTTATACTCTCCCATCTTGAGGAATTCCCACGACGTATAACCTGTGTTCCTCTTCCACCAAAAGTTGCAGCTCTACCATAAGTTTTGTTGTATGCATTATTGTAAAAGCCTGTACCAATTCTAATTGCCTTGTTCCAAACACTATCATCATGATCAGCGGTTACATTGCCTTGAAGTTGAACTTCCTCTTCGTGATGGTAATGCTTATGGTTAAGTAGGTAATATATCAATAAGGCCCGCACAAAGCAAATGGTGGATATGGCAGCACATATGATATAGAGACCCCAAAAGTTGTTGAGGGTCAGGCTCTCAGTTTCTGGAGTCGTTGAGCTGTTTGAGCATTCCGTGGAAGGGGTCAACCAGTACTCTTCCAAATGTTTTAGTGTTCCATTTTCTGCTAGTGTTAAAATGGCTTCAGAAAAGTCTTTTGCCATGGGAGATCCTTTTTGAAATACCTGCACATATCATTGAGTCAGTGTTAGAAAACTAAATCTTCTGTTAAAATTTAGTATAGTGTTAGTTCAAGGACTACAAAACAAATTTCCATTTCCAAAGGTTTTCTCATAATGAATAAAATGCAAACAAAACTTAGATGAAGTTCTTTTAAGTAATTTTCCTGTTTTCTTCTAAGAAATATAGTTTTCCTTTAGTAACTTATGCTAATCTTTAATACAAACATTTATGGCGATACTTCTTTTAAAGAAAACCCAGAATGTGGTACGTGGTGAATTAATTCCGTATACATGCAGTATGCAAGACTATTGTGAGAATTGTGCAACTATGGTTTTACCAACAAAATCATCTGTGATTCCTAGTATGAAACTGAACTTGAGAGTGCAAGATACATAAACTAAACTTGTCAGTGTTAAAATAATGTTTGGTCAACAAAAGATATATTACGAATATAAATTAGTCTTTGATTATTAGTTTTGAAATACTGCATGAACTACATCTATGAAAAGATAAAACATAACTAAGTTTGGAGAAGGAGTTGAGTCACTTACAAAGCCTAATCCTCCAAATCTGTAGGCAGCTGTAATTGCAGTGTAATCCTTGCAGTACTTATTCAAGAAAACCTTCTCATATGGGCTCTCAAGAAAGAGAGCCGAAATTGTTTTGCTTTTGAATTTTTCCACGATGTCATGTTCTCCATTAACCACTACTATTTGCTGCGGATGGAAATCATACACATTCATCATGTAGTTCTTTACAAAGGAACTGCTGTCTTCACAACCAACTGATAAGTTGTTTTGCTTTAACCACTCAATATCTCTCCCAGACTTCATTCGTTTGACTGTAAGCATCGACGAAAGGTTGGCAGTGTAGCTCGAAGTTAGAACAAACACAAGAAATAGCCATACTCCAACTACTAATCGTGCAGAGTTGCTGCTTATTTTCTCCCCTGAGGCACATCAAAATCAGGTTTGTGTTAGAATTAGTTTGCAAAAACGAGGTTTTAGATTTTTCAGTTGAAGAAGAATTATAACATTTAAAGTTTTTCTTTAAACACAATATAAGTATTGCAATTCAGAAGTGTCACTGAATCACCTATAAAATTACCACAGGAAGATGGCAGAAGCATTGCTATAGATTTTAAACTATTTTATTTTTCCTCTTTATATGTTGTTTTATCCATACTTTTCAGGCCACTTTGTGTTTGATTTGTATAAAATGGCAACTTTACTCAGAAATACCACAAACTAAAATGGCCCACACTAAATTACCAATTAATTTTATTTCTGGCTTTCAATATAAGTATATAACTAAAAAGGGAAGTGAAGGAGTTTTCAATATTTGAACATTTATACTTACTATGAGCAAAAAATAGAGAAGTAAAGGCAAACCATACTGTGGTGCTGATCTGATTTTTCAGTGGTCCACCAAAATCTGGATTGAAGCGATGCTCCAGGAACCATACGATGAACATTGTGTAGATGAGGATGCCAACAGTTGCCATCCACATTTCCCAGCTAAATGGTTTCATAAACAACCATGCTGACCCTTCAGTCTCTTTTGGAAATATAACTGATAAGCCTGACTCAGTGTATGGCTGAGTGAACAACACATCCTTTGATCGGTTGGCAAGTATTGTTACGTCTCCTACAATAGCATCATGGGACTGCAATTGGTTTGAGTCCACAACAGAAGCATTAGTTTTCTCTTCCCTTTCTATTAGAAAAAAGATTGAAATACTAAAAAAATTTCTAACTACATGATTTGATGAATAATTCCATTAGTCAAATTCTCGTCCATTTTATCCATTTCACACAAACTTGGTTACTTCCTTCAAATTCTATGAGGGTTATCTGCTATTAACTAGGTCATGCTCAAACAAAGAATCATGAACGTCTAAAAAGAGGATTTAGTTATAGAAGTATACCAGAATTCCAGAAATCATTTTGTGTTGAGAAATTCTAACAATAGGAAGGCTTTGGCTTGAATTTATTTTCCTTTGCAAATGCTGTTGTTAGTGCCAATTTGGTGCAGAATGCAAGTTTCGGGTTATACAAATTCAATGGTCAATTAAGCCAGTAAATTAAGAAACAATTTGCTTTTGTTTTGAGAAAAATATGATGTTTGGTCTACGAGTAATGTTGTGGTGGGCAATGCATATATAGAATACGAGACTACATAAAAACAAACACAGGCTTACAAGGATAAATAGTTTACCTTGTTTATGACATTCAGTAGAAGTTGTTCATAGGATTCATTGAAGGGGTAAAATTCATAAGGCATCCCAGAATATCTGTCTCTGAGAATGTTCCGTACTTCATGGAAAAGATCAATACAGAAACCAACATATTGCTTTTGGGAGTCTACCTTCAAAAAATTATCAAAAGCAGGGTTTATAGGAATTGCCACTTTTAAAGGTTCTGCATCGGTAGGCATTTTCCATCCCTTGGGATAAGCAGAAATAAGGCCTCCTGGCCAAACAACTGGGCCAGTTAAATTAGTTGTAGTATAATCACCTCTTGTCTTTTTATCTTTCAATATTTTAAGAGATGCAGCAAACTTCAACTCTGGGGTCCAAAAGTCCAATTCCTTGTATTCCTTATTAACTAAGTTTATGACTCTCAATACTGGAGTGTTGGATAAATGACTGTCTCTGAATCTTATATTACCACTTAAGCCATTGAAATTGCTAGATAACATTTTCTCTAAGAATACCCTTGAGTTACTAGAGTTGCTATTCATTTTCTCCAAGGCCTTTGCGATGATTGTAACGCTATCATAAGCCTGTAATGCATCTGATCCTGGTTTAGAGCCTGCTGTTTCAGTTTGCCCATGTTGGAAATTTTCCTCCAACTGAGTATAAGCAAGAGAATTTGTAGAATAGTAGGTTTTGATTCCCAAAGTACCTTCCATAGAGGATAAAACGGATTTATTAGCCAAATCCAACATATTTGTGACCCCTTCATTGATTATCCAAGCTGAATCTTTCCCCAACAATCCAATTTTGTTAGCTTCTCTGAACAAATGGGTTACCATAGGATATGATGCTTGAAGTACAACAAAAACACGAAAATTTAGTGGCAACAACTTGATCAATTCATCAAGAACAAACCCTTTTGGATCAGATAAAGAAGTGAATGGCGGAAGAACTAATCGGCTCTCAATCTGCGCGTTACCCTTTTGGAGAGCCTCAGAAAAGAGGCCTAACATTCCAGAATCACTACTATAAGGGTTGTCTTCATATATAACGATAACCTTCTGCCAGTTGTACACGTGGATAATATCTGCTATGCAGTTCATCTGTGCAGACTGATTTTTAGCCATTTGAATCAAGAAAGGCCAACGATGTTGCATTAAAGGATGGATTACTAGGGGAGAAGAAAATGAAATAATTGGTATTTGAGCTTTGTTTCCGAGGTCAGCAACTAGAGCTGCTTCTTGCCATGTTCCCATGCCAACAATCACTTTAACTTTCTTCTTATCGATTAGTTCTTCAGCTAGAAACCAGAAGAAGCAAAGCATGTTATTCTATTAGTGCTTAAATGAAAGAAAGTAAAAATAAGTTTACCACCGAAATAATGAAATATAGCTTGTTTGGATATAAATTTAGAAGAATTTTGAGAGTGTCTCTACTTAAAATAAAGATTTTTTTTTTCTGGTAAGAAAATTCTTAAAATTTTTTCTAAACCTGTATCTAAACAAACTTGCAGTGCTCACCAGCTGAAGCCGCTTGTAATGGGTTTCCACCAGAGTTGTGGAAGAAAAGTTTTATGTTGTTATGATTCTTTGAATAATTATTGAAACTTTGAACTGCAATTTGCATGGCTCTTATTTGTTGTTTTCCCGTCTCTGAATTGACATCAATGACCACGCCAACACTTGTATTTTGGAAACTGTAGACAACCTGAGCTGCTATAAGGCACTGGAATAGGAGAAGAGAGATTAGAGAAGGCCAAAGCAAAAAATTTGAAAGTGCTTTGGAAGTTTGGCCATGAAAATTCATATTGGCTTTCATGTAATGTAATTGACATAAAAATAAAATATCATCAGAGGTGTTATATATATATATATACACAGAGGCATACATGGTGAGGAACTGGTCAATGTTCAGAATCATATCCTATAGTAGAATGGAATGTTAGAACCTTCATGGAATTCATTCTTCTTTAATGAGATTTAGGATGTTGACTTGTATTACGTTGAAACGTGTGGTCTGTAAGACACAGAAGCACGTAAAGATTTTTCATTTTTTCTCCTCTGGACCCAGTCCCGGTAAATTGAGAATGTGAGAGATATTTCATAACAATATAAAGTCAGTCATTTGAAGCGTCAACATTGATGGCTGAGAAGGTTTTGGAATTAAGACAGGATCTAATCCCTGTACTAAGAAATTACTAGATTATTTTAGCTTATTGGTATTTATTATTTAGTATAACTAACACTTGAAAATGGTCACTTCATTGAAAATTGTCACTTTGTTCTATAAGATGTTTTTAGCTTATCTTATGAAATTAATATGCTTTTGCAACGGTAAAGTACCAAAAATTATATCTCATATAATCTTATAAAAGTTCATTATTATAAGTCATGTTGTGTATAAAAATTTGCTCATTTTGCATTTAAAATAACTTTAATTAAAAAAAGAGGAAAACAACTTTTTCAAAATAAAACTTTTTTTTAATTTAAATTGAGTTAATACATTTGATAAATTTTATCTAAGCAATTATACCCAAATAAGAATCCTTAATCCTTTTCAGTAGTACAATTTTCCCGGAATTTTCTCACAAAAAGAAAGGCTTCCAGAATTTTTTTTTCTTAAGAAATAGGTATATACTTGGTGAATCAAAGGAGTTCAAAATTCTAATGGTATTTATTCTTACCGGGAACCCGAGGTAGGGATGATCCACTGGGTAAGATCGGTGAGCCTCCTTCACTGGTACGTTGATGCTCCAAGATGGAGCGAGTACCTGCAAAAGAGACTCCGATGCTAAAGTTAGGGTGGGGATGAGTATGAGTCTCGTATAAGTAATGCACGTACCTTGGTGTGAATTAGGATTTCGTTGGGCCTTGGGCCTGAGATCAGTTACGATCTGATTAGATAGTGGATCTCGTCTAGATCGAGATCTCCCAGCGCATGTTTGAGGTCGTCCTGCGCTGCGATACCGAGCTCGAGCTCGATAAGACGGTACGGATAGTACACTAGCCCCCCGAGCTCCAAAGGCCGTAGGTCGAGGAGTTAAGACCGAGCTCGTCAAGTGGCCGTGACCCTTCGCGTACGCTTGCCTGTCGAGATGCCATGTGTCATAACTGTCATTTCTCGAAAACGTGCATGTGGGGCGTTAATGGGAGTGACGGTTATGTAATGATGGTTTGTATTCGTCATAATGGTCCTCAATTAATGCGTCGTCAGGTGTGCACCTTGACCGACACGTGTCATGACCGTTTTGAATTTTGGAAAACCCTTTTCTCTCTCTCGCGCCCTTTCCCCTTTCACTTTACTCATTTTCGTTCTCTTTCTTCCTTCGCTTCTTGTGTATGCCGGTTTCTGCGTCTTAGCTTTCGCCATCTCCATCCAGGCTTTCTCCGTCTCTGTTCTTCTCCGTCGCCTTATCCGGCAACTGAGTTTCGTTGTCTGATTTTCGTTCTTGTTCTTTGTTTGCCAAAAGAGTACCAGGTACTTCTATTTCTTTAACTTCCCCTTCTTCTAAGATCTCTTCCACTTCTTGATGGCTGGAGAGAGGGGTGATGCATCTTCTGCGCCTGCCAAAGGTAAGGGCAAGGCGTGCGGCAAGGCGGCGGCTACCGGGACGGTCGCCGCCGAAAAGAAGAAGGTGGAGAACCCGCCTAAGGACCTCGTCCCCGGCGTTCCTGGCTATAACTGGGTCAGGCGTGACGTGGGGGAGCTCTAGAGTGTGTTTAGATCCTTTCTTGAGGTCAATGCGGTTTGGAGGTCACACAGGATCTGCGACCCTTCCATCTCCCAGAAGATTCGGCTTGAACCCTGTCAAGCCGATGAGCGTGTATACATGGGGAGTTCTACAGACCCTCCCCACTTCTATGTCTATCAATATTTCTTTAGGGATTTGGGTGTCTGCCTCCCTTTCACTCAATTTGAGTGCAATTTTCTAAACTTTATCAACTCGGCTCCTTGCCAGTTGCACCCAAATAGTTGGGATTTTTTGCGGGCTTTTCAAGTCCTGTGTTCAGTTCTCGGGATAGGGGTGTCTCTTCCCATTTTTCTTCATTTTCACCAGCTGAAAATAGGGGTTCCTCCTTATGGTTTACTGTCTCTAAGTGGGAGTAAGGATGGGGGTCTGTTTACCCTTTACTCTCAATCATATAAAAATTTTAAACAAGAATTCTTCCGGGTGGCGCTTGTGGACGTCAACCCGTTGAAGGATGGGGCGTTCTACTTCGGCGGGTTGCCGAAGTTTCCCTTCTACTGGCGGCAAGCCCCGACTAGATTTCACGGGGAAGGGAAATTGCAAGTGACGACGACAGAGTTGGCCGCCATTAAAAACCTTGAAGCCCTTCCTCGCCCGTTGGATTGCAAGCTCGTCTTGTCGCTTGCGAACTCGGCGTACAAGGAGAGGGGCTTAGAGAGTGAGTATTCTATTTTTCCTGGCTTGTCGGGATTTGTAGAAGCTTATTTTGCTTATGTGTCTGTTCTTTCTGTTTACAGGCAAAATGGGCAGAAAAAAGTGGCGCGAGCTGAAGCACCGCTACAATGTTGCCAAAATCGAGGTCTCCGAGCCTCAGGAAGAGGAGGTCGCCCCTCTAAAGACGAACAGAAAAAGAAAGAGGGGCGAGAAGGAGATCGGGGGGACCTCTGCCCCTCCGGACGCCGAGGAGGTGACCTCCAAGGTTGCTGATGCTGATGCGGTGGCGACCCCGGCTGCTGAGCAAGTCGTTCAGGTCGCCGAGGTAAGTGCTTGGTCTGTAGCTTTTCTTTTATGCTGCATTCTGGTTGAGCTTTGTTTTAGAAGGAGGTTTTAATTTTTTGCTTGATTTTTTGCAGGAAGGGAATGCAGTTGAGGTCCCGGTGCCTCTAAGGTCGGATGCGCCAGGCTTGGGTCCTTCCATTGCCGAGCAGGGGGCGCCTGCTTCTGCTTCCGCCGAGGTTCGCGGCAAGGGTCCGAGCTCCGAAGTCCCAACCTCTGCACCAGCGACCTCGGCGCCATCGTCTGGCCAGGCGAAAGGGGCTCGGAGAAGCCAATACCTCGCCCAGCGCTTCGTGAAGGGCTCCTCCCAAGTGCGGTTAGACTATGTGAGCGCCTCGGAGGACATCAGCTCTTTGTGGAGTACGAGGGTTACCTTGGAGAAGTTCTTCTCCCGTTCCTCGCTGAGCACGACTGATCATGCTATGATCGAGTCAGCCGGGCCGGTGGAAGGTCTGGATGCTGCTGAGGTCTTTTTGCAGAGAAGCATGGCCATTGTGGATCACTGGAAGCACAAGTGGGCCAAGCAGCAGAAGGTCCTTGCGAAGATGAGGGCCCGCTTCCAGCCATTGGAGGAGGAGAACCGGGCTTTGAAGGTCGCCCTTGGCGAGGCCAAGGGGCAGAGTGAGGCGGCGCTCTGGGTTACAAGGGAAGATCTCTCGAGGGTTCAGAAGTCTCTGGAGATCGCCTTGCGGTCGAATGAGTCTTATGCTTCCTAGGTGGGTGAGCTGCAGGAGCTTGCCACCTCTTCTCGGGAACGGGCGCGTTCTTTGGAAGATGAGGTGACGTCCTCTCGAGGTCGGGTGCGCTTCCTGGAAGACGAGGTGACGTCTCTAAAGGCGGACCTAGTGGCGGTGGCCGAGAGACGTCTCTGTGATGAGGTGCTTCTTGGTGGTAAAGAGAAGGAGATGGCCGCTTTGAGGGTGGACCTTGCGAGGCTAGAAGCGGCGAGGGCGGGGCTGGAAAAGAAGCTCGAGGAGACGGAGCGAGCTGTCGTCTTTGAGCATAAGAGGGGATTCCTCAAGGGGGCTCGCCAGGCTAGGCTGCTTGCTCCGGGGTTCGACTTCTCTGCTATGCACATGGAGAAAGAAGTCCGCTTCAGAAAGTTGGTGAAGGAGGATGATCTCGAGGAGAGCTCCAGTGAAAACGCCTCCGCCTAGGCCACTTTTGTAATAACAGCTTATTTTTCTTCGCTTTATATTTTTTCCTTGAAATCCTATGTTGAACTCTGTGAACACCATTGTATATATTCTATGGTTCTTTTGTTTTTCGAACTTGTGTGTTTTTGTGTTTGCTTTGTGTTTTTCTTTGTCTTCGCGTTTAGGCTTGATTTTTTCCTGTTTGCGCGATTTGAAAACATGTTCAACAATTGCTGCGCTTCATTTGTGGTGCTTAGACCCGATTTAAGACGAAGCGTTTTGTTCCAAGGTTCAAGTCCGACCTTGGATGAGATTAAGATGTTCCGTGGTGAGGTTCAAACTTGACCTCGAATGGATTATACCGAGGTTCGAACTCGACCTTGGATGGATTTTGTCAGTGTTCGGACTCGACCTTGAGTTGTCTGTTTCAAGGTTCGAACTCGACCTTGAGTTGTCTATTCTAAGGTTCGAACTCGACCTTGAGTTGTTTATTCTAAGGTTCGAACTCGACCTTGCTTAATAACGAGATAAGCCGGACCAATGGTTTGAATTCGACCTTGGCGTATAGTAAAACGTGTTGTGTTAAGGCTCGAACTCGTCCTTAACTAGGGGTAAGATAAGTCAGACCGAGGTTCAGATTCGACCTCGGCGTCAAGTAAGATAAGTTTTTTCAAGGTTCGGACTCGACCTCGGCTTAACATGAAACGTTTTATGGTATGATGACTTAGAGCTAGGAGAATGTAAATAAAAAGAATGAGTTATTACATTAATTGTGTAAATGTGCCTCGTTAAAAACCCTCTCAGCCAAAACCCATTCTTCTATTTTTTGGGATAAAAGACTGAGGCGAGAAAAGAATGCACAGCTCATTCATACAAAGCTTAACTGAAGTAAAACTTGAGATCCGTGACATTCCAAGTTCGCGGTATGGGTTTTCTGCTGAGTTCTTCTAATCGGTATGCTCCGTTCTCCAAGTTCTCCACAACCCGGAATGGTCCACCCCAGGAGGGTGCAAGCTTTCCATCTGTTGTGTCTTTCCGAGCTTCGCCTAGCAAACGCCACACCAAGTTACCAACTCGGAAAGATCGATGCCGCACTCGCGTATTGTACCTTCTGGAAGCTCGGAGCTTGCAGGCTTCTTCGTGGGTTTGAGCTTTGTCTCTGAGCTCGTCAACTAAATCGAGGTCGGCTGCTAACTCTTGAGCGTTCTGCTCGCTGTTGAAGACTTGGCGTCGGTGAGATGTCTCTCCGATTTCCACTGGAATCATGGCATCAGCTCCGTAACTGCTCGTTGTTGAAGACTTGGCGTCGGTGAGATGTCTCTCCGATTTCCACTAGAATTATTGCGTCAGCTCCGTAAGTCAGCCTGTAAGGCATTTCTTGCATTGTTAACTGGGGGGTGCAATGATACGCCTAGAGGATGCTAAGAAGCTCGTCGGTCCATTGCCCCTTGGCGTTCCCGAGGCACTTTTTGAGTTCTCGGAGTATCACCTTATTAGCTGCTTCGGCTTGACCATTTGTTTGCGGATGTTCCACTAAGGTCGGAAGATGCTTGATTCCGAGTTCCCGAAGAAAGTCTTCGAAGCCCTTCGCAATGAACTGTCGGCCGTTGTCAGTAACAAGGGCATAGGGTATCCCGAACTTGCATACGATACTCTTCCAGGTGAATTTTCGTATGTTCTCAATGGTGATCTTAGCAAGTAAGCATGCCTCGATCTACTTGGTGAAGTAGTCGATTGCCACCAGGAGGAACTTGAGCTGGCCCTTTGCTGGGGGGAATGGTCCTAGGATGTCCATTCCCCACTGGGCGAAAGGCCATGACGACATCATCTGGTGGAGAGTTTTGGGTGGCTGTCGGTGCGCGTTGCCGAACTCTTGGCACTCTTTGCATTTCTGTACGTAGTCCTGACAGTCTGATTTCAAAGTGGGCCAGTAGTATCCTGCTCGGAGTACTCTGGTCGCCATTGAGCGTGCTCCGGAATGCATGCCACATATGCCTCGGTGGATCTCCTCGATGACATAGGCTGCCTGGGGTGCAGTTAAGCATTTGAGCAGTGGGGTGGAGACGCCACGCTTGAATAGTTCGTCGCCAATGATCACGAACTTGGCCGACCTCAACCTCATCTTCCGAGCTTCCTCCCCGTCCTCGGGCAAAACTCCTACCTTCAAGTAGCTCCAGATGCCTGTCATCCATCCCTGGTCTTCACTGTGACTAGTGTTGACAACCTTGTCATCCAGGCTGGGTGAGTGCAAGGTCTCCTGGATGATGGTCTGATGTTGTCCAGGGCGTTTGGTACTGGCGAGCTTTGATAGGAGGTCGGCTCTGGTGTTCTGTTCTCACGGTACATTCTGTATAGTGAACTCGTCGAAGCACGAGATCTGTTGTGATGCCATGTGAAAATACCGCTGGAGGAGAACGTCCTTGGCCTGGTATGTTCCGCTGAGCTGCTCTACCATGAGTTTCGAGTCGCTGTTGCAACTCACTCTCCGAGCTCCGAGATCATGGGCCAACCTTAGCCCTGCGAGAAGTGCCTCATACTCTGCCTGGTTGTTGGTCACCTTGAAGCTAAATTTTAGAGATTGCTCCAGAGTGACTTGGTTCGGTCCTTCCAAGATGATACTTGCACCACCACCTTTAGAGTTGGAGGACCCATCAACGTGTAAAGTCCATACATGTGGTTCCTCGGCTGAGGTAGGCGTGAGCTCGGCTACGAAGTCGACCAGGCATTGAGCTTTCAGGGCGCCGCGACTTTTGTACTGGATGTCGAACTCGGACAATTCTACCGACTAGGCTATCATTCGTCCGGCGAGCTTCGGCTTTCTCAAGATCTGCTTGATTGGGTAGTTAGTCTTAATGACTACTTGGTGGCTTTGGAAGTAAGGTCGGAGGCGCCGAGCTGCGGTGACAAGCGCTAGTGTCAGGTTCTTGATCATCTGGTACTGCTTCTCCGTGTCTTGGAGGACCCAACTGATGAAGTAGATCGACGTCTGCACTTTCTGGTGCTCTTGTACTATAACTGCATTGATGGCATTTTTTGCTACAGCCAAGTAGAGGAGGAGGTCAGTTTTGTGATCCGGCCTCTACAGGATTGGCGGGGTTGTGAGAAAGGTCTTGAAGCTTTTGAAAGCCTCCTCGCATTGGTCCGTCCATTCGAAGTTCTTTGGCTTCCGTAGCAGGGTGAAGATGGGCCCTGCCTTGTCCGCCAACCTGGGGATAAAACGGGAGAGGGAGACCAGCCTTCCCGCCATGCGTTGGACATCTTTCACGGTCTGGGGACTCTGCATCTGAATGATAGCTTTGCACTTTTCCGGGTTGGCCTCGATCCCCTTGTTAGTGATCATGAAACCAAGGAACTTACCTCCTTGGACACCGAAGATGCACTTCTCTGGATTGAGACGCATGTTGTGTCTCCTGATCTGGCCAAACACCTCGACGAGATCGGTAGCATGGTCCGCGACCGAGGTAGTTTTGACCACCATGTCGTCAACATATACTTCCATGTTACGCCCGATCTGCTGGTGGAAAACTTTGTCCATCAGACGTTGGTAAGTGGCCCCTGCGTTCTTGAGATCGACCGGCATCACTCGGTAGTAGTAATTTGCGTGGTCGGGGATGAAAGAAGTATGCACCTCGTTAGGTGGGTACATCATTATCTGGTTGTACCCAGAGTAGGCATCGAGGAAACTGAGGAGGGCGTGCCCAGACGCTCCGTCTACCAGCCTGTCAATGCTCGGCAAGGGGTATGAGTCCTTGGGGCATGCTCTGTTCAAGTCGGTGTAGTCAACGCACATCCGCCACTTTCTTGGGTTCTTTTTTACCAGCACCACGTTTGCCAGCCATGTGGTGTACCTGACCTCACGGATGAAGCCAACATTCCGCAATTTTTGTGTCTCGGTGATGATGGCTTCCCGCCTTTCACCCCCGACCTTCCGCTTCCTTTGAGTCACAAGTTTTGCTTCCTTGTGAATTGCTAACCTGTGACAGATGAAGTTAGCGTCTATACCTGGCATGTCGGCACTAGACCACGCAAAGAGGTCGGCGTTCTTGGAGATTTCGGCCTCGATCTGTTGCCGTAACTCCGGGCTCAACTGCCTACTGATCTTCGTGCATTGCCCCGGGAGTTTTCCGATCTGGAGGTCATCGAGCTCGTTGATGGGACTTGGTCGATCATCATGGGAATCGGACCTCGGGTTGAGGTCAGTGATCTCCACGTGGTTGATGTGAGCCACTGTAGGAGGATCGCTCTTGCATCGCTCGCCGGACGAGGAGATTTTCAGACTCTCGGTGTAGCATTGTCGAGCTGTCTTTTGGTTTGCCTTGACAGAAATAATCTTCCCATCACTCCCTGGGAATTTCATGGTGAGGTGTGGGGTGGACACCACTGCTCCAATTGATTCAAGGTCGGCCTCCCAATAATTATGTTGTAGGAAGTGTTGGCTTCCACGAGGAGGTATCGGACCATAATCCTCCTTGTGTCTGGAGAGGTCCCGAAAGTTGTCAGCAGGTCTACATATCCCCGAGTGTGTACTCGCTCTCCTGCAAAAATGACTAGGGGCTCTGTGTGAGGTTGGATGAGAGAGTGAGGGATGTCTAACCTGAGGAACGTCAGCCAATATAGGACGTCAGCCGAGCGCCCTTGGTCGATCAGTGTTTTGTGGACCTCTCAATTAGCTACCTCCACGGCGATGACCATGGGGTCATCCTGGTTAGGGTTGACGCCAAAGTAGTCATCGTCGGTGAAGGTGATGGGCGGTGAGCTTTGGTGCGAAGCTGAGGTAGTGGAGTGGATGCTGCTGATATTGCACAGGTGTCTCTTACGGGCCGAGCTGCTGGCGCCTCCCCTTGCGAAACCACCTGCAATTGTGTTGATTACTCCTCGTAGGAGAGATGACCCTGTTTCTTGGCTTACCTCGGCTTGCACTGCTCCACCGGCATTTTGCTTAGAGCTAGAGGGTTGGTCCGTGCGAGTTCCTGAACCACGACCTCTATCTCGTCCTCGTCCACCATAGCCTCCTCGGTGATCCTGTTGTCGTTGGACATACTGGCCGAGGTGGCCTGCCTGTATGAGTTCCTCAATACGATCTCGGAGCTTGCGGCACTCTTCAGTGGTGTGACCGTGGTTTCTGTGATACCGACAGTGTTTGGACTTGTCCGCACTGTTGGGAGTGTGACCTGGTGGTGGCAGGGTGAGCAGGTTGCTGTTACTGGCCTCCTCCAGGATGTGAACTCGGGGCGTATTCAGGGGAGTGTAGAAGTCGTATCTCCCCCCTTGTTTGTCCGAGCCGTTTTCTTGAACTGGCTGTCGTTGGTGACCTTCATCTTGTCTTTGTGGCCACTGTCAGTTTTCCCTTGTGATTTTCCACGAACCTGGTCACGGAAGGCAGAATGCTCGTCCATTTGGATGTACCCAACAGCACGGGCACGAAGCTCGTCCATATCGCGAGGAGCCTCACGACATAGACTGTCGACGAACGGTCCGGGCTTGAGTGCCATGAGCATGGCGTGTAGAGCGGCCTCGGGATTCAAATTCCGGATCTTTACCGAGATGGCGGCGAATCGTTCCATGAACGTCCGGAGTGGTTCATCGTCACCCTGTCAGAGACTGGCCAGGGCAGCTGGTGTTTTTGGATGAGGTCGGCTCGGCGCATATTGTGCTGTGAACCGTCTGACCAAGGGGCCGAAGCTGTCAATTGACTTGGCAGGTAGCTGGGTGTACTAGTTGAGCGCGGCCCTTTTGAGCGAGGTCGGAAAAACCCTACACAAAATAGCATCGTTATTGGTGTAGATGTTTACCTGTGTGGTGTACAGGTCGATGTGCTCGTCCGGGTCCGTCGTGCCGTCGTAGCGGTCGAGGTGGAGAGGCTTCTATCCGAGAGGGAGTGGCGTCTTCATAATGCCATCCACAAAAGGATGACAGCGGAAGGTTGGTTGATCCCCTACGACATGAGTAGGAGCATTGCTGACCTCATGCGCCGATTTGTGCGTCGGTGCATGAGATCGGTGTGTGGCAGGCTTTGGAGTCGGTGTCCTATGCGCTGTTGGGGGTTGAGAAACCGAGTGCCCCTCTTCCTCGTTTAGGTGACTCGGTTGAGGGGGTTAATCAGAGGTGCGCCGTGGTAGCTGAGCGCGGATACGCTCATTCTTGGCGCCCAGCGCCGCTAGGTCTGCTTCATTGGCGGTTCGCATCGCGACTAGGTAGGTCTGCTTCATGGGCGGTTCGCATCGCGACTAGGTCAGTTTCGTGCTGGGCACGCATGTTTTGCAGATCGGCAGTGTGTTGCTGCCACATCTGTTTGACCTGCTCGATCAACCTTCTCAATGCTGCTTCGTTGTCCATGGTAGTTGCATGATCTAGGTCGTCTGTTGCGCGTTTGCTATGGCTTCTGGTACAAACCATAAGTGTGGTTGATAAGAGCTGTCTTGATCGGCCTCATGGTGGGCGCCAAATGTTCTTACCGGGAACCCGAGGTAGGGATGATCTACTGGGTAAGATTGGTGAGCCTCCTTCACTGGTACGTTGATGCTCCAAGATGAGGGTGGTACCTGCAAAAGAGACTCCGATGCTAAAGTTAAGGTTTCTATGAGTATGAGTCTCATATAAGTAATGCACGTACCTTGGTGTGAATTAGGGTTTCGTTGGGCCTTGGGCCTGAGATCAGTTACGATCTGATTAGATAGCGGATCTCGTTTAGACCGAGATCTCCCAGCGCATGTCCGAGGTCGTCCTGCGCTGTGATACCGAGCTCGAGCTCGGTAAAATAGTACAGATAATACAATATTAAAATAATGTTTTGACTAAAAAAATCACATCTCACAATCAAAATTAAATGACAACTCTCTTCAACCAGAAAACTATTGTAAATTTGTAATGATAATATCTTATTTTAGGTACACTTTTTTATTAGATATTTTTATTCTTGATTTTTATTGAATAACTATTACAAAATTAACTATTCACTTTCACTTTTTATTTAACCCCTCTTTGTCTCTTTTATTTTTATTTTTGGAAATAATGATGCTCTGCTCTTTTCCCCAGTGTTTTATAATGGCATAATCAGATAATCTTGCTCAACTCTACATAATAATTTAAAATTCATAGTTTGTAAAATTAATAATAAGCTATTATATTTTTTACTTGCATTAATATCTTTTATATAATATGGTAACATTAATATAATATGTTTGGAAATATAATATAAAAGATAAAAATCTCGGAATATTATTTTTGTATTTTAAAAATCAATACCTGAATCCAATCATTAACCGGGTCTGAGTTTGGGCCAACCGGAACTGGGCCTCTGTAGTAAGAGGAGAATTTTGAAAAGAGAAATGGCAGTAACACATTCTCTCTCACACACACACGAGAACTGAGAAGTGCGTTAGAGAATGCAATGGTAGAATCACTCGTGTTTTGAAGAAGGGGTGGGTGTGTTCGGTTGCGTTTGGGTGGTGAACATGTCGCAGTTCTGGAAGCCGGGTACAGAGAGGCCTCAGGGTCGCGTGGTGGACGATGAAGAAGGTGGCGTTCTCTTCTTGTCCGGTTCTCACCATTCCTCTTCTTCTTCCTCCTCTCGATACGGCTACGCCAGCATCGACAAGCAACGCCAGCGGTTACCTGTGTACAAGTACCGCACCGCCATTCTCTACCTCGTCGAGACTCACGCCACCACAATCGTCGTCGGCGAGACCGGCAGCGGCAAGACCACTCAAATCCCTCAGGTCACTCCTATTCCATTCCACTCCTCCAAATTCAAATTCACGTGACTAACAATTTGCACTGCATCGCAGTACCTGAAAGAAGCAGGTTGGGCCGCTGGTGGCAGACTCATTGCTTGTACTCAACCTCGACGACTAGCCGTTCAGGTCACTTCTCTTCATAGTTGTCGCTCATTCTTCAATTCATTATTCACGGTACTCTTCTCTCTCATCGCGAATCTTATCTCTTTGTGTTTCACAGGCTGTTGCTTCTAGAGTTGCCGAAGAGATGGGAGTAAAACTCGGTGATGAAGTTGGCTACACAATTAGGTTTGAAGATGTTACCAAACCGGTGAGCATCTATCTCTGCAATTATCATTTATTTGGATCGTATCATGTCATACTTCTAGTTCTACTCGCATGTATGTCACATACGAAAAAGAAAAAAATAAATGAAAAGTTGAAGACGAGAGTTGATTGGATAATGACGAGTGGAGTGGTTACAACATTTTCTTTCGTTTTGTGGCAGCACAGGATGTAACGGTGCTTAAATTTTTAACTGACGGAGTGCTGTTAAGGGAGATGATGGACGATCCTCTTTTGACCAAATATAGGTACTTGTTTTGCTATCACTCCTTTTTAACATCTCGGTGAAATATTGACTTCGAGTGTTACGCACACACCTTACCTATATTACTAATATTAAAAGGACGTATTATATATAACTTGTGAGTTGGACATCAAACTGTCTGGATGAGTATGGACTACGGAAACGTGGACTGTGGTTGTATGAAGGCAGTTTAGCATCCTTCTCTTTTGTTATGTTCTTTTCTAAAACTTCAACACTAATGATGATTTCTCCTTCTTTTTGAAGTTGCTAGCAGATTTGGAGAACATTTCTTATGGTCCTTGTGTATCTTGGTTTGGGCGCCCTTGAATTTTCCCCCTTTTCTAATTTGACATATTTCCTATCCCTCCCTGTACGACCAATTTTTTTAGTACAATTAAAAAAAAAAATGAAAGCAGTATAACAACAGAGCTTTTCAGGGGAGATTTGTTTAGCTCTTATACAAAACAAATTCATGAATATTTAGACTTTAAATGTTGTCCATGCAGATGCTAATTGTTAAACTGTCATGTTAATGGTGTTCCTTATACTGAATTTTACATGTTTTGTGGTTGTGCCAAGTTATAAGGTCCTGTTCTGAACTCCTTTTGCCCTGACCTCCATAAATACTTGTTGCAGTGTTATAATGGTGGATGAGGCTCATGAAAGGTCGATATCTACTGACATTTTGCTTGGACTATTGAAAAAGGTATTAAATGGACCAGCAAGCCATATACATAGCAATAAAATGCTGTTCTTTTCCTGGTAACTAAAAAATGGTCTCTTTTTATTTTTACAATTTTTTAATCTTTTTAATTGTATGATTTTTTTTTGCTACTTTTCTAGATTCAACGGCGTCGACCAGAGTTGCGGTTGATTATCTCATCTGCTACTATTGAAGCAAAGTCGATGTCTGACTTCTTCCGGATGAGGTTTTCTTCCGCTCTTGCTATGTTTCAATTGTTCAGACTTTTATTTACACATCAATACTCTTCTGGAAGCTGTATTCGCCAAACTTATCTTCATACAATGTCACAATATCCGATTTTAAGATTCACCTGAATTATATTTTGTCAATGCTTCCCACACTCCTTGCCACTTATGCAAGTTTGTTACAAGTTATGTGAATCCCTCTTTTGCATATAACCCTTATGGGAGTGGCTTACAAACTCTTCTGGATTCATTTTCATGCAAACTAGTTCTATACTTGTTGTACTCAGCTATAAACATTAGTATCATGTCCAATTCACTATACTAACTGTTATTATCTGGTATATAATACCCCATTACTGAATTTTTTGAAATTTAAACTGCTGTTGGGGGTTTCTTGTCTTGAGTATTCAGATTTTGATTGTCATTTGATGATCCAATAAAGCAGTCTCTTATTCAACTATATGTGCTCTATTAACAGAAAAAAGCAACGTGAACCTGGAAATGAGGAGCATGGACTACAAGTGGAGCCTGCAATTTTATCAGTTGAGGTAATTATTTTCAGAAGTAGGACTTACTTGCATGCCTTCTGTTTTCTAAGAGCATCTGTTTTACTGTCTGTCTGTATCATCACCCTGGTATATTTCTTCTTTTCAATTTAATATTAATTTCCACAAAGAAACACCTCACTCTTGAAAAACTGGACTACAATATAATTTGGAAATATTTTAATTAAGTGGGACATTGCTATGGTTTTGGATTTCTTTCCAGTTTAAAGTTTTCAATATACAAAATACAAATAGACCGTGCTTTATGATTTTCAGGGCAGAGGCTTCAATGTACAAATTAATTATGCTGAGGAACCTGTCCAAGACTATGTTCAGGCTGCTGTTTCAACAGTACTCTTGATCCATGAGCGGGTACTTTATCTTATATGGAGATAGGAATAGGATAACAACTACGCATTCTATTTTGAGTCATTTTAATTCAGTGTAGTGTAATTACATGTGTTGTTGCTCAGTGCTTGCATTAGGCTTGATCACTGACACCAAAATGAGTGATCATTTTGATACATACTATAGTAACTAACTAACTATACTAGAAATTATGGGGTCCTCCACCAGTAACGCAAACACACAAGCTCTAAACATTATGATGTTGATGTAAGCAGAAAGTGAGATTTATCTAAATAGTCAAAACAAAAACAAAATGGACTGAAATGGTGGTTCTGGTCTTTTATTTCTCTCCTTAGGAGCCTGCAGGAGATGTTCTAGTGTTCCTTACTGGCCAAGATGATATTGATGCTGCTGCTCAATTACTTGCTGATGAAGTTCAAACTAATGGAAAACACTCTTCAGGTACACACTCTGAATAGTTCTTATTTGGACTGTTAGCTTTTGATGTCTTTTAACTGCTGACGTTTAATAATAAATGAGTATAATATGTATAATTTTTTTTTTGTTTTTTGAACATAATGAGAAAATGATTTCTTATTTTTTAGTCTTCAATAAGATACCACTAATGCATGGAATTTCCTTTTGTTCCAGGATTGGTTGTTTTGCCTCTGTATTCAGGACTTCCACGTGCTGAACAGGTTAGAAATGCATCTGTGGGTTTAGCTGTCAAAATTTTGTAATTTGTTTAATTTTAATTTCTGAATGTATGTTGTATGTTTTACTTTCTCCCAGGAGTTAGTGTTTTCTCCAGCTCCTCGAGGAAAAAGGAAAGTAATAATTTCTACTAATATAGCAGAAACATCACTCACGTTGGAGGTAACATCTCTCTGGTGATTAGTCCGACTATGGTTAGGGACAATAAGATCCTCCTCATCCATTCTTATTTTTCTATTCGTGCAGGGTATTGTCTATGTTATTGACAGTGGATTCTCTAAACAGCGGTTCTACAATCCGGTATTTGCATTTTGTTTTTTCTATTAAAGAGATATAGTAATGAGCTCTGTAATGATTTGTTCCTGTTTGGTTTATAAATGTCACCTAGGTCTATCTTTACCTACATTCAAGTTTCTTTTAGCTCTCTATTTTTATCTAACACCATTCCACTGTGGAGGAGTTATACTCACTTTCCACTTTCTGCCCTTGTATTTACTTAAAAAATTAGAGAAGCTTCATCAATTTTTGATTCACATATTTAAATTTTAAACAAGCTGCTGTTGGTTCATGAAGGATTTAAAACCTTAAAATTTTCCATGTATAGGGATGACACATGACAGTTGCCCAGTTATGGTACACTACTGAATATTGAATTTTAACTTAACATTCATTTTATATTATCTTCATTATTCAGTTTATTAGAAATTATCGTCTAAATTTTGATTGATTCTGGCTGGCATGCTAGTAATAATTTTAATTTTTAGGAGCCGTCCCTTTACTCTTTTTTCTCTCCCTTACTCAGATGCCTTGATGTCACCAAGTGTAATTTTTTCCATGCGTTTAACAGATTTCTGATATAGAAAATCTGGTTGTGGCACCGATATCTAGGGCTTCTGCTAGACAAAGAGCTGGTAGGGCTGGACGAGTTCGACCAGGAAAGTGTTACAGGTGTAGTAGTTAGTTTTTTCAGCTGTTTAAGGAATATGTTTCACTTATCAAATATGATTTATTCAGCTTGTCATCTGTCGCTTCAAACTAGTTATCTTCCAAAGAACCACATTTCGTAACTAAAGATTAATTTTTATTTCATGTTGTGGGTTTTTGCTTCAAAGAATCAAATTACCTGATGGAAGAAAGTGCCCATGTTGATAACACAACAAAAGGAAATGCTATACAAAATTTATGCTATACATGTTCTTTCACCAGATACTTTTACAAAAAAAAATAGCATGCTTTACAATATTCACCTTTTTACTTTTCCTTTTTAAGTTTTTTTGGCAAGAATTTAATTATGCTGCTGAGAACAAGTATGTGCCCCTCCATGCTGGGGCAATTTATTGTACTTCATTTTAGCAAGTTTTGGAAGAAAGAGGAAATTTTCATGGCAATTTTATAAAACAAGGTCAACAGTTTTGCAGTTTTTACCTTTTTAGATTAGGTTTATTTGATTTTATTTGCTCAGAAGGCGTTCATTTTGAATTATAGTTTCTCTATAGCCCTCTGCTGATGGCTGTTTTACTGTTTTTTCAGTTCTGGTATGCAAAGAAATCCAGCAATCTTGATGCATTCTTTATTCTGTGTTTTCCTTTATTTTTTTTTATCTGGTTTGGAGGTATCTTATCCAGTCCACTCTGTAGCCATATTAAGTATCCTGTTCATGGAATTAATATAGCTTCTTCTATGTCATAGTGTTCTAATAATGGCCATTGTGTTTTATTATGTTTTTTTTGGTTGTTTATTCTATTCTGTTATGTGTTCCTGTTACTTTGTCAACATCTCAATTTGTATTTTGTACCGATGTTAACTGTGGCAACCATTCACTGTGCACATGACTGCAACCAGGCTATATACAGAAGAATATTTTCTTAACCACATGTCTAATGAAGGAATTCCGGAGATACAGAGATCAAATATGGTCTCCTGTGTAATCCAGGTTAGTAATTGTTATGGAATAGTTTCACAGAAACAAAAGTATTTTTGCCTGGTTTATTTTGTTATGGTGATACAACCATTATCTGTAATTTCTTTTTCTCCAGGCATGGATCTTTTTGAATGGGATGGTATTTTCTAATCAATAGGAATGATGACTAATTATAAGTTGCATCATTGCTATTTTGATTTATGATGAATTTGTTGGAATTTAGTAAATGGTTGTCAAAAAGAGTATATGTTCCCCATATGATATGATTTTAATTAAAAAAAATCAAGATTAGCCAGAGAGGGAAAGATGAAGTTGCATTTGAAATTTCACTTTCTTTTATAATTCATTTTATCAACTCTTCTCTTCCAATGATTTCAATGTGCCTTTTTTTTTCCTGGCCTTGTATTTACCAACTCTTTCATGGTCTGGTATTTTTAACTTAATGTTAAAAATCCTATATGCCGGTGCTATGCAGAGAGAATTTTGAAAGGAGGTCATGAACAAAATTCCTTGTTGTAGCACCTCAAACTTGGATATCACTTCTTCCCTGCATAAGGATCTTTCCACTTCTAATATGGAAGGCATTGAACAGCTTTGTTGCATTCTTTAGCCTCTGCCCCGTAGTTGTGCATCACCTCTAATAAAATTTCTCCATTTATCCACAAGAAGAAGCATAGTAGTATTGTATAATGAGATGGATTGTCCAATTATCACCTCTTCCTTTTCTGATATTACCAGGATATTGCTTGCTGGAATAGTGTGTGCATTCTAGCAAGTTAATGGTTGATGCTAAAATTAATTACTTGACACTTTTTCTGATGATTTCCAGTTAAAGGCATTGGGGATCGATAATATTTTGGGCTTTGACTGGCCAGCATCTCCATCTGCTGAAGCAATGATCCGAGCTCTAGAAGTTCTCTACTCACTTGGTGTCTTGGATGATGATGCTAAGCTGACTTCACCAACTGGATTTCAAGTTGCAGAGATTCCACTTGTAAATTTCTGTTTTCACAAAAATCATGTTTGGTTCATTTGTTAAATGCTTCATCTCTATTTGTATAATAATAAAGACTTGTTTTATTCACCCAGGGTTAGTTCTAAGTACACTAGACACGGAAAAGTTGTTTGCTGGTCAGGATAAAAATGATAAGATGGGATAAGTAATCATATCCTATATTTTAATCTATCGTTTTGTGAGCCGACAAGATAGGAAAAATGTCTCATTTTCTTATCCTATCATGTTCATTAGTTAAGAAATTATCCTGAGGTGGGGGCTAGGTTAGGAACAAGCAGGATAAGATAGAAAAAGTTTCCACTTTTGACCCTTTCCTCGCTACACAACTTTTTTTGCTCCACAACCTCCACCAGAATTGTTGCCGCTACCAAGTACCAATATTATCACAACCATTGCTGCCACCACTACTATTAATGCTAGTGCTACCACAACCATTGCTATCGTTGTCACATCACAACTATTGTTACTGCCATCATTTCCATAATCATTACCATTACTACTACAACTACTATCATAGTACTATTACCACATTTGTGATAACCATCATTCTCACTATTGAAATCGCTACCATCATCACTACTACACTACCACCATCACCATTGACATTGTTGTCGTTGTCATCATTACTACATTATTAGTGTTATCATTGTCACAATTGTTTTTGTTGCCTCTACCATCATTGTTATTGTTGCCTCCATCATCACTATATTGCCACCACCACTCTCATTGTCACCATTGCCATCATTTTTACCACTGATGCCATTGTCATCATCATTATTATGATCATTATTACCATCGTTACTTCTACTGCTGCCACCATCATTGTTGCCATCGTTAGCCCTACCACTACCACCACTTTTCATTAGAGTAATTTTGTCATTTGAATACAATTTATCTAGGCTTTGTTTGGATAAACTTCTCCATAAATACTTATGAAAGAAGAAAATAAGAAGTAAAAATGAAATTAACTTAATTCATTGGAAGCTGTCTCATGTTAGCTTTTCCAAAAGTTGATTTTAACTTGTGTATAAGATAATTTTATCTTTTGAGAGAAACTTATTTCATTTTTTCTTATTTTTTCCCCCTAGAAGTGCTTATGGAATAGTTTTACCAAAGAGGTCTTGATAGCACAAAATAATAGCAGACAACAAAATAATTGTTTTACAATCTAAATTTAGAATCCGGTAATTTTGTTTCCCTTGAGGCTCTCAAAAGATTCTTTCCAGCCTGGGAAATCAACTAACCTTCCATGCCATTTACATATATTTGCTCTAACAGTTAATCTGGATATTACACAACTTTTTTTTTTGCTCTCACGTGTTCTCTTAACTGGTTATACTTCATATTTTGTGTTATGCATAGATGCAGCCGGTTAGCTGCTGATTCATTAAATAACCAATATATTGAAAGGGTCATGCGTGGTATCACTTTTGCTTTCTTGTTTATTTAAATTAGTATTACTATTACAAGTATTGCCATTATTTTGCTGTTATCAAGTTTTTGTAATGTCTACCCAATTTTAAATGCATTTCCTACCTTTCCAATAGCTGTCCAGATGCATTTCTTACAATTTTTACCAATGTCTTCTTAATGGAATGTAATTTTTGCCAGGATCCGATGGTCTCAAAAATGATAATAGCTTCCAGTCAACTTGGGTGTTCAGAGGAGATAATCACTGTCGCTGCTGTTCTTTCTGTCCAAGTAAATCTTTTTGCTTTAGTCATAACTAATTGTTTTGGAACACATTTTAATAAATTTTTCTTCAAATCAATTTTCAGCCGGTGTTGGGAAATGTTAAATAAAACCTATCAGTATATTGTAATGAAATATAGTTGAACATTAATGTATAGAGCTGTTGACTTTAATTTCAAATTATCTATGTATACAGACTATCTGGATCTCAGGGAGAGGGATACAAAAGGAATCAGATGAAGCAAAATTGAGATTTGCTGCTGCCGAGGTACTTTAGTTTAAGATTTTTGCACTCACTTTTTCTATTTAATATTTATAACCATAATTTCCTCTATTTTATTTATGTGTTAAACTTTTGATGATTCTTCATTAAACTTCTCTTCCATAGTGTAATACAATAGTTTTTCTTTAGAAATATGACGTAGGAACTATTTTTTTTTTTTATTCATCAATTTTATTTTCTTTTTGATAACTGGTATAATTACAGGGTGACCATATAACATTCCTTAATGTATATAAGGGGTTTCATCAGTCTGGTAAATCTTCTCAGTGGTGTCACAAGAACTATGTAAACTACCATGCCATGGTGTGTATTTGTTTGTCAATTTTGCACAATTTAGGCATTGCAATATGTCCTTTCCGAAATTCATGTTGACATGACTTCTTAAATTGCGCAGAGAAAGGTTGTTGAAGTTAGAGAACAACTCAAAAGAATTGCAAAGAGGATAGGCTTAGTCTTAAAATCATGCGAAAGTGATGTGCAGGTTGGTTTTTTCCCCACTTCTTTATACTTACTAATACTGGTTATGTATTTTTTGTTTTTGAACTGCATTCAATCTTTTTCTAATTTATTCTCTTTTGAGTGCCTAAATAGTCAAAGTTATGGAATGATCCGCCCTAGTGTAATTATTTATCGATCCTGTCCCATTCTTTGGTTTTTCACCCAACTACATGTGTTCACTTTCAGTTTTAGTTTTACGGCTTGTTTGAATAAACATCTTAATTAAGGTCTTGCTAAATATGTACTTACTATATAATTACTTATGTATAAGTTGTTTTAATAATTGAAGGAAAAATAGGGTTAAACTGTTTTTATACATGCTAAAAGTTGTTTTTATAAGCTTTCATGCAGAACTTACTGAAATAAGCTGAAAACAATTATAAGTTATTTTCATAAGCTCTTCCAAACACATCTACAAGTGGCTTATGTCATTAGATAAGTGCAAATAAATTGTGATATAAATTCTTTTAAATGGGGCCTTAATTAGTAAGGTGGTTTCATTATATTTGATGTTATACTTTTCCAGGTGATTAGAAAAGCAGTAACTGCTGGCTTTTTTGCTAACGCTTGTCATCTAGAGGTGAGATGCTTCTTGACACACTAAGATGCATGATTTTCTCTTGCATTTTTCATGTATATTAACATTTTCCCCACATATTAGCAAATAATTTGACTTCAAAATTTATCTGTTTCTGTACCTTGTTAAAAGGCATACAGTCATAACGGGAAGTACAAGACGTTAAGAGGATCACAGGAAGTTTATATTCATCCATCATCTGTGCTATTCAGGTTAGTACAAACCGAGTTTGTGTAAGTTATGTATTATGTGCAGGTTTTACTACTATGAGCCTATTTGGATACAATGCTTCAAAGCATCTTTCAGAATTTCTTTTCTGAAAAATACTTTTTATTTTCAGTAGAATTTTTTTTCAAAAGTACTTCTAACTTGTATCCAAATAGGCTTTATATCTGCTTTAGAAGATTAAGAAACTTGGTATATTATACAGAAATCCTGTAGTCTCTTCCAGCATCTGAACTTGTGACTTCTGTATCTTTTCCATTTTTTTGGGGGGTGACTGGCTGAAGGGGGGGAGTGGGGTATACTTTGATGGATGATCTCTGTATGTTCAAGTCACCTAAAATTATGTTCTTTTGCAGAGTAAATCCAAAGTGGGTTATTTACAATTCTCTTGTATCAACTGATCGACAATACATGCGTAATGTCATAACGATAGATCCTTCCTGGTTATTGGAGGCTGCTCCTCACTTCTACCAGCTACAGCAATCTAATGCTCTTCTTCGCTGATTTGCCTTGGGCTTATTGTGTTTGAGGCGAAGGAGAGAAATTGTTAATATATTTAAGTTACATAAGTATAGCAGATTAACCAGTGGTGTTAGGACTCATTACACGGATGTAAATTGGATACTTTCTCGAGGTTATTGAAAGTTTTCTTCCTCTGTACTCCTCACGGCAAATTGATAGATGCAGGTCTCAATGCTTTATATCTACCTGTGGACAATTATTGTTTAAGAGTAAGGAATGAAAAGATTTTTTTTTTAATTAAGAATTTCGAACTCGAGAAAGTTTTCTTGTTCGTAGTCTTTGAAAGCATTTGTGGGTTGTGGCTTTTGAAAAGTGAGGGTTCTTTTTTATCCGGAAAAAGAAAGTTGGGTTCTTTATGGTTTTACTTGTAGGATGCCCCTCGAAAAGTTTGGTGCACTGTTGAACCATGAACTTAATACTGTTGTTATTGATTAAAGTAATGGGAGTTGGGATGAGATCATTAATAGGTTTAGTGCATTGCTTTAAAATTGCTACGGAAAAAAAAAATAATGCAGAAAATAATTTGGGTCTAGGCGATATACCTATTTTGTCAACGATCTTCAAAGCATCAGTGAATCTTGCTTGACTATATATAGTTCATTTCATGCAAAATTTAATTTTAGTTTATCAAGGCAGATGATAGATTTCCATAGAAACAAAAAACAATATACCAGTTATCAGGATAGTAGATAGAGTAACATTGATCATAACCTATTACTCTGTCAGTATAACTGTATTTTTTGATTGGACCATTCTTTGGAACTAAAGTATTATTGAAGTGTAATTTCATCCGTCTTTATCAAAACCTAAATAATTATGGAAAAGCGTTTCCCTCGGGGCGTCATAATTTTGTTTATCAGTGGATAATTTAGGTTTTAACTTTTAAGGACTAACAGTCATTATACCACAACAAAGAAAGGTATTTAGTGCTGACAAAATCAGGCCCAGATTTGTGAAGTTGGATGACAATATATTTGCGATCGATGTAAGAACCGAAAGAGGTAGCATCTAAATCTAGTCGTTTATTTATTAGCGACTGATATTATGCATCGGTTCTAAAAGCATATCAGTCGCTGTCTCGGTAGCTGATTTGAGTTTCCAGTGGTAACCAATCGTTATTTTTGGTCTCGAAATCGGTGGATAAAGTAATAAAAATCTATTTACTTTATGCAGAAACTGATTTAGCGATGATTTTTGAAACCCATATTTCAGTCGCTAAATTGCCTATAAAATATATAGTCTCCTTTTGCATTCATACATTTCCATCGAATAAAACTTATATATATTGATTAAAATTAAATAGATGACATCTCTAACAACATAAATATAAAGTATCTGGTCTTCAAAATACAATTGAAGAAATCTAAATGAGGAAAGTACTTAAAATTTTCAAAACACAATATTTGAACTTGATGATGTTGGAACAATTAGAATGAAACGTAAATAATTTTTTCAAACTACTATGTGTATAGCAAAAATATTGGAACTTACTCCAAGTTTTTTTTTTACAATACAAATATATTAATAAAGGCTTCTTAATAAAACTATCTAGAATCCCAACCTTCTAGTAGAAAAGTTGTGTTAATCTTCATATATATTGCTCTTCATTGATATAAAATGGGTAAATCATTCAACGCTATCAAGGAATTTCTTAAGATATTATGTTTTAGGAGGTCTCATTACTTCAACTTTTTAATCATGTCCTTATGAATGCACGCAATTATAGAACAAGTTCTCAATTGTCCTCTTCTTATAGTAGATGTTGGGGTACAAACAAAATCTCAAATTATTGAATCATGAAGAGAAAGAAATTTTTAAAGTATGCATAGTCTCCATTGGTTTGAAATCTTTTGGAAGATAACCAAAAGCAAAACCATGAGGATTTAAAGCCTAAAATGGACAATATCATACTAATGTGGAGACATATGTGTGTGTGAATCCTGAGTACCCAATATTGGTACCAAAGTTCTGGTTCGTGGAACTTGATGACCTGTCACTTGAGTATTAAAGATTGACATACAACAATTTCAATACCCAAGAAATAGAGACAATAAATACTATAGAGAAAAAGTATGATTGAAGATGATTATAACAAAAATCCATGATAACAAGAAGATCAAATTCAAAAGTTTTAACTGTGGGAGGAATTGTTAAGAAAATAATTCAAATTTTCAAATTCAAACCTTTAAGATATTGTTTAGATTTTAAAAGGTATGGATTCTTTTAGGATATTGTTCAAAATTGAAATATATTGTATTTATTTTAAAGATTCGTTTTCTCTTTTAAGATTAAAATGTAAGGTCAATAAATAGATACTCTTAGGATTAGAAGAATCACTTGACCTGTAGAAGGAGTCACTACCTTAAGTGAGATAGGAGGTCATATGAAGGAGGGTTGCCAAGTTTCACTAAAAAATTTGTGAGGAGAGAATTTTCAAGTTTCACCCATAAAATTTGTAAAGAAAGGATTTCCAAGTTTCGCTCATAAAATTTGTGAGGGAAGGGGTTTTCAAGTTTCACCCACAAAACTTGAAAGGAAGATTTTCATATATATATATATATATATATATAATACATTTTTATAAATAACATATATCTTTGTAGACGTAGATATGAAGGGCCGAACCACGTTAAATAAATTTTGTGTGATCTTTTCATATTTTGTATGAGGTTGTTTTAATGTGTTTCTCATCATCATTGTGTGTAAAAGAAAAAGAGTTTTTTTGTTCCCAATAGTGACATCAAAGCCAATGGTTGATCATGTGACCGGCTCAAAGTCTCAAACAAGTATTTGACAATAAAAGATAATTGATTCAAGTGCGAGATCCCTTGTGTTAAAATGTGGAGGTCAGCATGTTGCATTGATGTGAGTTAACGACGATGCAAGTATTTAGAGTTGGCAGATGTGACTAAAGTTCTAAGGATCCATTGAATACTCATAGATAAAAAAAAAAAGTTTTCACTCAGGAGAGGTTAAACTATAATCTTTTGTTTGAACGGGTACAAATAAAGTTTCATATCATTGGATCATAAAGAGAAAAAAAATGTTTATAAAACACACATAATTAATCTCCATTGATATGAATTATTTTAGGAAATAATCAAAAGAAAAATCACATATCAATATAAAGAAATATGTTTATGAATCATGAGTGTCTAATTGTAAATAATATTACAGTGTCTCATAGTCAAGATTTATCTCAAGTTTTGTATAAATATGAGTTATTGAGATATTCGCAAATTTTCTCCAAAAGAACATCAATGTTCCACTTCTTGAAAAGCTTTGTACGCCAATCTCGTTTCTTCTTCATCTAGTGGATTCCTATAGCAGGCGAGACAAGATGATAGATAAGACAAGATGCCAATAGAAGGTATTTGAATCTTTTGAAGCTCTTTGAACTTCAATTTTAAATTAACTTTTTAAGTTCATGATTACAATTGTGCAAACACCCTAAAGAACTGTAACATCAAAAGCCGGAACAACTGAAATTAAGTTAAATGAAAATCCCATGCAAAGTAGCATCTCTTGATTTTCATGAATCATAGAGAATGCATACTCTCCCAGTCCCACCCAACAAACTCAATCTATCTAATGAAAATGCCGTGCAAAGTATGCAGATCCCGTGTTACTTCTGCTTCAACCAACACTAGGAAAATATTTCTTTTATTCACATGCTGCCATTGTTGGTTTCAAAGTGAAAAACCACTGTCTTCGATAAATATACTCAGAGCTTCAAGTTAAGATCAATGCCAACTCTTCCTGCTTCACGTCCCCCATGATTTGTGCCATGCATTGTTTCTGTCACCTCTGGGTCCTCCACTTTTAAGAAGTTATAGAAAGGCCTACGATTAGGTTCACTTGATTCTGATGAATGCTGGTGTGACTCCATTTTATCCTATAAAATTTCATAACCAAGAAACAATTATATTCATCTAACCAGAATCATGACATTTTATATATAAGTAATCTAAATGTAAACATGTATTACGTAAAAAATAAATATATAACTTCATTAAAATTTATAGGATTTATTATATTAAATGAAAAACGTAGTCTTTAATATATATCACATTTTTTTATTTAATATACTTTTTTGAAGTATTATTTAGTATCGACGTCAAAATATCATTAACCAGATTAAATCTTAGATGTATTGTTTTTTATTATTATATACTAACATTTTCTTTTACCTAGGATTTTGACATTGTATTTCGTAAGATAAATATTTCTTTTTTTAAGAAACCAAAACTCATAATAAATAAATATTTTTAATTTTTCATATTACACTATTATTAAAGATCATAATAACGTTATTAAACATGTCATATCCATGAGCATTTGCACTACTAATTATATACATAAATTGGCGTGTTTTAAGTACGAAGGCACATCCATGATTAAATCCTCCATCAACAAAAATGTTTAAATCAAACCCACGATCAACTAAAACATTTAAGTCTATATCTAAGGGAGTTCTTTTTCCATAAAAGTGTAGAATTTATGGATTCCTCATCATCATTAATTAACACAGAATCGAGTGAGTCTTCTACCTTTTCCAAATATGGAGAGTCTTGAACCCTTTTCATGGAGTCTTCTACCAGTTCTAAATTCACAGATTCTTTAGTCTCATCCATGGAGTCTTCTACCCTTTCTAAAGTTAAAGAGTCTTGAGCTCGTTCCATAGAGTCTTTTATTCTTTCAGAATCCATCAAGACTTTCTACTATCTTCAGAGTGTGTAAATAGCTATCTTTTTTTTATATTTCAATCTTAAAATAAGAAGAAGACAAGAAGAATAGTAGCTGACAATGAAAGTAAAAAAGAAGAGAACAAATAGGTGCTCCTATACATTGGAAATATGTTGCACTCATAAATGTAACAGTAACTTCACATACGTGGTTGGAGAAGAAATAAGTATATTGGAAATGAATAAATACATTGTTCAGTAAACACACATTAATTATCAAGGGTAAAAATGAAAAACAAATAATAAGTCATTGATTTTAGAAAAGTGACAATGAAAATTAAACAAAAAAAAATAATGTCAAAACGTTTATGGAAAAAAATAGAGGGAGTACCTTATTTGCATGTGACATTTTTTTCTTTTAAAATCCATATATATATATATATATATATGGATTTGTTAAGATACACTTAATTGAATTTTAATTAGAATAGCTAGTATCTTATATAATTAAAGGTTATCTTAAAATACATTAAGGTTGTATTTGGATAAGAAATTTTAAAAATTTAGCAAATTTGAAATTTTCATAATTTGAGTTACTTTAATTTAAATTTTTATCTTCATTAAATGTTTTATTTAGATAAATCAATTTAAATGATAACACATATTTAATTACTATAGATAAAATTGACTTTAATTTATATATATATATTAAAGTTTTAAGATTAAATTTTATAAAAATAAACGTTAACAAATTTTTAAATATTAAATAATTTAAAATTATTTTAATATTATACTATATTTAATAATTTTAAATATTTAATAATTAAAAAATATTAATACTTTTTATATCAACATTGAGAGAAGGGGAGAGAGATAGGAGAAATAAGAGAGAGAAGAAGAAGCATTAAAAAATAAAAGGTAGAGAGAAAGGCCAAAAGGAAGAAAGAGAATAAAAGGAGGAAAGGTAAAAGTTAGATAGAAAATAAATAAAAGAGATAGAAATAAATAAAGAAATAAAAGACAACAAAGAAAAGAAGAGAGAGAGAGGTGGGAAGAGGTGACAGAGTAAGAGAGGCAAGTGAAAAGATAAGAAAGAGAAAAAAGTAATAGATAAAAGATATATATATATATATATATATATATATATATATATATAATATTTTAAATTCTTATTTGTAGGAAGAATTTGAAATTTGAAATTTTTAAAATTTTTTACAAGTACTTGCATTTTAATTTCTTTTTAAATTTTTTATCCAACATTTCACTCAAAACATTTCAAATTTAAAAAAAAAATGAATTACTCATTTAAAATTTCTCATCGAATGACATAGTTTGCTAGCACAATCCAATTAAAATAAAGTTCATGTGCGCCCGAGCAAATGCTAGTAAGATTTGATAATTCCTGTTTTAATTTTTTTTTAATAATTAGTTAGAGTATGTTAACATGATTAAGATTTTTGACATATAATTAATATTTTTATAAGTAAAAAAAATTATATTGAGCATAAAATTAAAAAAAATGAAAGGGACCAAAATTATATTTGCATAGAATAATGCAATAATATGAAGAAAAAAAATGGGAATAGTCATGGCCATTACTAACCCTTTTCACTGCCTCCATCACTAAGTAATAACAAGAATGATAGTGATAATGATAATATTTCAATAATAATAATGATAATAATAATAAAGATAATACAATAGTCATTTAATTTAATATAATAACTAAAACTAATTCCTCACTCTTCATAATACAAATAAATATAAAAAACTTGTCTCATATTATATATATATATCCCATGCAAAGTAGCATCTCTTGATTTTCATGAATCATAGAGAATGCATACTCTCCCAGTCCCACCCAACAAACTCAATATATATATATATCACTATATTATAATAATTATCACTAGATTATAACAATTTTTTAATTATTTTAAAATAATCCTAAAATATTCGTTCTTTGCTATTCTAAATATACTGCAAAAAATATTTAAGTCAAAGAGTGAGGAAAATAAGAGTTTTCCTATCTAAATTACCGATTTTAATTTACAGTATAGAAGTAGATTCCTTTGAAATTTTAATTTTATATTATGTTTCTTGTCTTGAAAAAGTCTACATGTTATGTGTCACGTTGCGCTAGAAATCTAGTAAAAATGAATCTATGAATATAACATACCAAGAAAAAAAAAAAACAATCAAAGAAGTAACACTTTATCATCACACTCACATTTTTAATCTAGATATAATTTCTGCATGTCTGCGCCTTGGACTCTGGATAGTCGCATACCATGCCCAAAGCCCCATGCATCTAGCCAAACAACAAATAAAGAATATTGGATCTTCCAGAATTATTTGCAACTTACATCATTAACATGGCAAGAGTGCACATTCCCCTTAGAAAGAACATTTGGAAACAAATGCATAGGAGGTGAAGGAAATTCAGGAGCAACAAATGGTGGATAATTTGCATGACCAGGCGTGACAATGTCAGAATTGAACCTTGTGTTACTGAGCTCCAAAGTGCTGCCCCATTTGTCATCCCTGAGAAGGACACAGATTTAGCAACACCATAAGCAACTATAAGACAATAATCTAGGCAAGAGTTAGCGATGACAATAAGCAACTACCTGTAGCACTCTTTGGTTGAATTGAAACTACTTGCACCATGACTATCATTTATGGATGATTGCTGTGGTCTATTGTAGTGAGAAAAACTTGGAAGAACATGAAAGTTTGATGGCGGAATCAGAGAGTTTTCTAAGGTTGAAGAGTAAGATCGCTTCATGCCTGCCATCTGCAACACATTGATTGTCAACATAAAATTCCAATTTTCTGACTTCATTTGTTACATGCAAATCCAAATAGAAAACTATAAGTTTGATGCATCGGCACATGTTTTATAGCTTCGAAAGGTAAACAACCTAATTAATTTTTTTTAAGAGGAGAACAGTATTCTTATTAAAACATACTTATAAGTTCTACTTCTACCTATAAAAAAAATACAAAAAGTGTATAATAGGATAAATCACATGCTCTAAAACACATCTTAAACAAAACAACATATTTCAAAACGTATGATAATCACAATAAACATGTTATCTAATAATATAAATTTAAGTTTTCTTACTCTTTTCAAAATTGAGAAGTCCTACAAATGCATTACTTATATCACTACATTGCACCAACACTCACTAATTCTCTTTCGTTGTCAACAAATTCATTTACACAATCAACTTTAGGCAAGCTAATGGATTCAAAATCCAAGAACCAACTAAATCAATGAAATCATTTTTTTTCACACTCAACCAGCTTCAAACTTTAATCTTTACTAACTTTATAATACAAAACAAATTTACTTGTTTATCTTTAAATAATATACCATTCCTAACTTCCCATGTAGTCACATCACATCAAACTAAATCACCTCCTCCTTCTCCATCACTCCGATATTCACTCAACATTATAAATTGTTAAAATTGACATTAAATATTACTACCGAAAATTATTTTTACAATCCTATCTATAATAAACTTAGTGACCATACCTTTGAAAACCAAAATAAATACTCATGAAACAAGTGATTTGTTAATTTCACCTCTCTTTTACAAGTCACATACCAAACTTCTCAATTGTCAAAATACCCCTTCGATTAAAATAGACTTTGATAGATAATTTATTGTGTCATAATCTCCATTAAAACATTGATACCTTTAGTGGTATCACATTATTCTACACTTTCATCCATAATATTTCTTTATTGCATTCCCCTTGTCAAGTAGGCATCATAAGAGTTTTATATGTCAAACAAATAGTATAAACATCAATTATATCCTTATTGTTGCATTAACTTTTATATATATATATAT